CTTTATTTGGTAAGGCGGAAGCTGAGCAATAGAGGCACAGATGTGATTTCTATGCAGCAGAAGCCTAGGGGAGCCAGAGGCCGTTTTGTCTGCTCAGATACATCAAAATGTTTAACATCATGAAACACAACTTCTTGAAGTAAACCATGGTTTAAGAAATAGAATGAAACAAGGTTTACTTGCAGTTTAATTGACTCTCATGGCCAAATAATGGTGTAACAACAACAACAACAACAAAAATCAAATTATTTTAAAGTATATTTAGACAGAAACCCTCCTAGCTAAGACACTTCTGATCCTCATAGCCAATTGGGTTGGAGATCAATGCTTCCCAGTGATACTAACAACAAGCAAGGCTTAACAACAAGATTGCACACACAGCCCACAAAGGGCTACATAAGACTGTCCACCTCAGGTAACTGGGAGGCTGACTCACTGAACCATATAGGACACCTTAGCACACAAAGCCACCCTACCAACTCAGGGAAACTGAAAATGCCGAGACAAGGAAACAGATCACAAACAAAAGAAATGGAGGAAAAGAAGAGACTGGATATAGAGTTCAAAACAATGCTTATAAGGTTTTTCAAGAATTAATTATTTTACAGTATATTTAATAGAACAAACTAAAGTATATTGTGTTTAGTTATATATTGTTTGAAGAAAAAAAGCATCATGCTGTTTCAAAGGAAAACGTTTCAAGCACTGTCGTCAGGTGGTGAGTTCAAGAGCCTGAGAGCCAGGCAGACACTAGTTTGGGTCCAGGCTCTCTTACTTCAGTGTGACCTTCAGTTTTCACTGCACCTTAGTAGGGCCTAATCACTTCATATGTAAAATAGGGATAATCACAGTATCCATAACAACAGGTTACTTTTAGAATTAAAGATAATATTAATCACCTCATATCTATCCTATATAACAAAAGGCTAATATGCAAATTGAACAAACAAACAGTGGATCTACCAGTTGCTATGACATGCACTGACCACCAGGGGGCAGATGCTCATGCAGGAGCTGCCCCCCTGGTGGTCAGCGAGCTCCCATATGGAGAGCACTGCTCAGCCAGAAGCTGAGCTCATGGCTGGCAAGCTCAGCAGTGGTGGCGCGAGTCTCTCCCACCTCCATGGCAGCACTAAGGAGCAGGCCTAAGCTGGCAGTTGGATATCCCCTGAGGGCTCCTGGAATGAGAGGACTAAGAGAGGGTGCAGGCTGGGCTGAGGGACCCCGCCAAGTGCATGAATTTTGTGCACTGGGCCTCTAGTATCATATACCTATATCTATATGTATATATTTATATACCTATCTATATCTATGCTATCTATATCTATATCTACATCTACATCTACATCTACATCTATATCATATATATGAATGATAATTGTAAATTATTTTTGGTCAAAAAGATCAAAAGAATAAAGAGGTAATATATATAAATGACTTAGAATGATGGCTAACACGTTAGCCACTGTCATCATCATTAAATGGTAAAAGAAAGCTGACAGAACCTGAAGGAAAAAAGTGAAATTAGTCCCATGCCTTTCATTCTGTGGCATTATAGTAAAGAACTTAGGAAAATTCCTAGGCAAATGGAATGGGGAAACTGAGATAAGAAAATTAAACAAGGCCAAATAGCTTGGGAAGCTTGCAGCCTGCCTATGAATCATGAGATCTTATCTTCCCCAAATAAGGACACTTGAAAGCAAATTGTAATACCTCTCCTCCCTAACCAGAGAATATATTCAATAACTTAAATTACCCTGGCTTGGGAAAATAGAGAACAAAGACCCACTTCATGCCATCTATGCCAGCCAAAACATAGCCATCTTGGGGGAGGGGGGAAAAAGGGTGAGTTTTATCTCAATCACTAAACAAAGAAGTATGCCTTCTTAGGACTTGCCAAACCAGATGACCTGGTGAATGTACAAACATTCCCAGATAAGGCACAATGATGTAGAAGGGGATGTTGAAACTCAGTCTGCTGCATAAGATATCTGGCAGGGAAGCTTTGAAACCTTCAGGAAGAAGGGTATAAAAACCCCTGAACCCCTCCTAGGTATGCACTCAGATTAGCTGAGTTGCCAGCTTATGCTTTACGCCAAGTGCATTATGAATGAATTCCCTTGCTGATCTTCAACACAGCTATCTGTTACTCACTTGAAATCTTTCTTATGAGACTGGCAAGAGCCCAGGAAGGGACAGATATCTCTCTGACTTAGGGGGCTGTCCAGTAATAATTCAAAAATAAATGAAAAGAACCTCTATTTTCTATGTTTTATACACACTAAGAATAAAAAAATAGTCAAGGATTGCAAAGGCACCTCACTACTTTTCAGTTGGCACTGGATATGGAGCAAAAAAATATTGAAAAAGGCTAGAGAAATGACTCATGAAGAGATCCCCCTTCCACCCACTTTTAGAATATAAAGCAATTGAAGGAAGAGCTTTAATTAAGCCTATTGATGTCTTCTGGTTCCTGTTTTCACCTCTGTGGCCAATAAGCCCAGGGGCTCTATAGGCAGCACAGGGCCAGCCCCCAGAAAGAGAGCCTGCAGGCTGCATTATGGAGGGGAAAACTTTATCCTAAGGCTGAAAATAATATTACCAAAAAAAGAAAGAAAAAGAAATTTCAAGAAACTGCAGTTCCAAAGAGAGTCATGTTGTTCTCTGAGCACCTTTGAAGAAATCCATAGTTTTTGTATCATGTTAAATTTAGTACTAGAGAACATTGCTGGTGGTTTACTTTAAAATGTATAATATCCTAATTAGACATCCTTTTGGTTAATACTTTAATTTTTTTTTTGAGAGGAAGTATTTATGAGATTTGAACTAAAATATCATGTTCAGTGGCCTGCTTAGAAAAAAACATTCTTCAAAATACCGTGAAAAGGGCATTCACTCCTAGAACTAAAATTAACAGGCTATTTACAAAGCAAGTGCTGATGGGCAGAGCACACTGAATGGAACAAATTATTTTAAAGCAGAGCAAGTCACAAAATATACCTTTCATGTGACTGAGAGGATGAGTTATAATATACTTTACATGAGGTAAATACCAAGTCTTGGTAAGATTTAACTGTGTAGGAACATCTATCTATACTAACGAAATTGGCCAGCATTTTGGCTACAATACCTGGCACACAATAGGTCCTCAATATATATTTACTGAGCTAATGGATTAATGTATAATTACAAGCCTATGGAGGTAGTTATTCTTTACGACGTTACACTTTAATTATATTGCCTATATTATAATTACTGTCCAACAAACTTGGCTACAATAGAGATTTGTTTAGAAAGGAATATTATTCACTGTATTAATGCTAATTAATCTTTCTTTTGAGGAATAAAAGGGACACAGTAAAAACATCTATTGAAAAATGTTTACTGACTTTTGAGATTTCACCAGATTAGTATCCTTCCTATAGGAAAAAGCTTATGCCATTATGGAAATATTACCTATTAAACAGTATTGGTATACCTGGAAAAGTTAACAGCAGCAAACTGTGGCTGTAACATATCAAACATCTAGAATCTGGATAAAGCACAAAATAGCCACTGATCTCTGGAATATTTCAAAATATATAACTATATTTACAACTATTCTTTAGGTAATTTTAACCTAGTAGAAGTCTGTATATGTACAGGGTGTCCCCAAAAATGTATACACATTTCTAGTAATTATAAAGTCAGTGTTTATTAACATACAGTTCATTTTCAATTAAGTGAGTTATCGGCTGTTAAAGTTTGTGTACATTTCTTGGGACACCCTATATTTTTTCTCTCCTTTCTTATATTGTACAGGTGATACATGACTAGAGAACAGTCTATGGAGATAAGTAGTGAAGACAAGAGAGGTTATAGAAGGAGAAAAACTATGACATAGTAGAGATAACTGTACACTTTAATTTAACTAAGTATATAGACTCTTTACATGAGTGAGCAAACACTGTTATTTTACTTTTGCCTGCAGCATTAGGTATTTTGCATATATAGATGGGACCTGTATTAAAACCCAGTGAGCATTAACTCATGCTGTTCAGGTATAATTTTCTGAAAGGGCCACTTTCTCTTTTCATTTTACCTAAGTACAGGATTTAAAGGTAAAGACTTTATACATTTAAACTTGCCACATTATCTATTTCCCCTGCCACCTTCACCCCTTATTTTATAATTTGCCTTACTTTGTTGATATTATCAGTTTACTTACCTTTCGCTCTAAGCAGAATACAGTTTCATCAGTTCATGGGAATCGTGGGACCCTGAATGCCCCACACAGAGTGCGTTCTTATTAAATGTTTTTGGAAGTAATGTGTGCTCTTGCACTTTCTAACTATATATTTTTGCTATTTTTCATTCATTTTGGGGTGCTTTTTGCAAGGACCAGAGTAATTTTTCTCTCCAGCTTTACCCTCATCAATCTTTGTCTTTTACAGAGAAAGCATCATTTTTGATGGTGTCTGATTACAAATAGCATCTTAAAAAATAAAAACAATTTTAAAACCTTTTAGCTTATTCACTACTTATTATAGATATAAAAATATTGGGATTGACTAAATACCAATATATCAACATATAAATATCTTATTTTATCATAGACATCAAAATTTGAACAGTTGATAGGAGCAACTTCATTTAAAGGGTACTTTTAAAAGTTACCCAGTAAATGGTAACATCTGCTAGAAAATAAAGGATTACTTTTTTTTTTTTTTTTTTAATCAAGGAGTCGAAAAGAAGTTACTTAGTAATATGTGGTACCTAAAGATGGTTTTTTAAAATAGTTCACTACTTCAACAATGTTTTCAGGGTAATGGGACAAGTCTCTCAGGTTTTTCATTTCTTACGTTTTCAAAGCAAATAAAAATTATAATCTTTCATTTTCATTACTACATTATGTTTTTAAAAAAAAATCCAAATCTTAGAAATTCATTCATAGCGTTAGCTAAGAGAAGCCATGTGATTTTTCTGGCAAATGCAGTAGCACAAAGGCTCAAGCCTCTTACCATCAAATCCATCCTCTTCCGACCCTAGTTCATCATCTGAACAGATGTTGAGGACATTTACCAGCATCTCAGTCACTAAAAAGAAAAAAAGAAAAGAGAGAAGTCCAGATTTTTTCTATCAAAACCTTAATTATTACTCTGGCATTTTTAATGAGCAAGCTTAGCAATAGCATTTCTTACCTAGTTTGTATATAGAATCTCCTACACAGTAGTTTCTATAAAATCCAGGTCATAAAAGATAAAGGGCTTTATGATTCTACATAGACTCTATCCTAATAAAATTATTAGTTCATGCCTACAAAATCTAATAGTAAGATTTACTGGCTACAGGTCAGCAGACAATAGAGAAATCAAACATGTGGATGTGAAAATACTATAAATTTATGAAGTAGGCTACTTTTGAATTTTTATTTATGTGTATATTGAGATCTAGATCTAGACCAGGTTATGAACTTCTGTTCAGCAGGGACTATATATACTGGATCTCTTTTTCCATTTTATTAATTCTCCAGAGAACTAGACAGTGATAGGCATGAGTTTTGTATTTAATAAAATTTGTTGATTCCTTAATAAACTGATTAAATGTAGATATTGTTACATTCAATTTAATAAAAACCTAATATTCTAAGTGCCCAGATGTCCGGTCAGCCATTCAACCAATCAAAGAATAATATGCTAATGATATGCTAAAGCTGCTCAACAGCTCACTATGACACGCATTGACCACCAGGGGGCAGATGTTCCAACCGGTAGGTTAGCTTGCTGCTGGGGTCTGGCTGATCATGAATGACCAGATGGGCCGGACACGACTTGGAGCCTCTCTCAGTCCTTCCCCGGCTGACCAACCTCCTGCATTTCTCCCCGGCCCTGACCATGTACCAGTGGGATTCCTCAGCCTGGCCCCCTCTTGAAATCTGGGACCCCTCAGGATGTCGGAGAGCTAGTTTTAGCTCACTCCCACAGGGCCTCTAGTTTTATTATAAAAAATACTTTAAAAATAAAGGTTAGGTAAGTTTAATAAAAAATTTAGTTGAGTAAATAGATTACATAAAAGTATCAATATTATATATAGAAATTTAGTATTGCATCACATTTACTTGATGTGCACGCTATGTACAATGAACATTTTTAAAAATTAGGTTGTATTCTATCATGAATGTAAAAAGATGATGCATAAAGAATTGAGCCAGCAGTGGATAGAGCGTCGGCCTGAGGACTGAAAGGTCCCAGGTTCGATTCCTGTCAAGGGCACCTTGGTTATAGGAACATCCCCAGTAGGGGATGTGCAGGAGGCAGCTGATCGATGTTTCTCTCTCATCGATGTTTCTAACTCTTTATTCTTCTCCCTTCCTCTCTGTATAAAATCAATAAAATAAAAAATAAAAAAATAAAAAAAGAATGAGCCAGTATATCACAACTAGGCCTACTGAACCTAAAGCTCAAATTCAGGGGCTGCAACCTTGACTCAAAATTTTTGCTGAGGTTTAGGTCAAAACATAAAAACAAAGGGGAAAGGAAGGAAAGAAGGAAGGAAAAAAGGCCAATTTTGGAAAACTGGCTCAGGTTAATAGACAACTTTTTAAATGTACATTTATCTCACCCTGTAACACACTAATGGCCACTATATTTTTAATAAACTATTTTTGTTGTTGTATATGTAGTCCTTCAAAATATTATAGTCATTAATCACTATTATACAATGATTATTCGTTTAATTATGTTTTTATTAATTTTAGAGAGAGATAGAAACATCAATGATGAGAGAGACTCATTGATCGGTTGCTTCCTACATGTCTCTACTAAGGATCAAGTAAGTCCACAACTCATGTGTATAACCTGACTGACCAGGACTCCAATCATGACCTTCTGGTTCATGGATCAATGCTCAACCATGGAGCCACACTGGCCAAGAAGCAATGATTCCTTTTTATATGAGAAATGTGAGGAAAGCATTGCTATGGTAACCTTTATATTTGATGACTAGTTTGCAAAATAAAATAGTACCTTTAAATTATAATATAACAAGATTTTGAAAAGGCAGTCATTATGATTTGAAGCCAGTTAAAATGGTATGTCTGTAATTTCTGAGTTCTATTATTCTGAGATTATTAATTCTCCTACTATCCCTTATTTCTTTTGTTGCCCCTTCATTCATTGTAATTGTTTAATAGGATACTCTTTGACACTTTGAAATCATACCTCTCATGGTGCAATTTATTGGTTAAGTCAGTGATTTTCAACCTTTTATCATCTCATGGCACATATAAATTAATTGCTACAATTCTGAAGCTCACCAAAAAATATATTTTTTTTACCAGTGTGACAAGAAAAAGGTATAATTTTGACTCATTAACATTAGGTGGTTATTGTTGTATTGGCTGTTGTCATCTTTTTTATTTGACAATGTAAGGGAAAAAAGGTCAGCGACCCTGACTAGATAGTCCAGTATTGCATTTTTTTAAAAATTCTTGCAGCAAACCGGTTGAAAATTGCTGGGTTAGACTAAAGTGTTTCATAGTAAAATAGCCCCATCTCCTCCCCCACTACACCATTCCATTAAGCATTTTAGGATCCAAAACCCACCTTTTTCCCCGACAAATGGCAGAGACCAAGTGAAAACATCCATGAAATTTGGAAGCCAGTATGGATGAGGAGAACAGTTGAATTGCCTGATATTCATGACGTTGTTCTCGTACTTCAATACTGCAGCTGAAAATGACAAAAAGAGTGATATTAGATTCACAAGCACATATTTCTGCTTCTCCACCTGCTTTGGTTGATCAAGAAAATTCAACTATTTGACTTAAGTTCCAAAACATCAAGGCAATTAGTTGAATTAATCATGAATGCTTACGGTACTTTTGGATCTAAACTTCACTTGGTGTAATGGGTAACTGCATAATATATGAATATTAAATATGATATGCCATTGTAATTTGGCAAATATTTATATAAAATAGTTAATCAAATATACTTCAGGATTTGAATCCAAGAACATTCTGGCCCTACTTAATAACTGATGACACTAATAAAAGTGGCATAGCTAAGCCAGTTTGACATAATTTAATAATATAACTATTTCTATTTCTTGCAAGGCATACTTTTTCCCAGTAGAACTCACAATACTTGGATAAAATAGTTTAAATTAGATTGCATTCTTGAGTTAGTAAAGTTTGGATTAAATTCTGCATAAAATAATATGCCTGTATCTGACTCCACCCTTGATTTCTGAAAAGGATGAACCATCCGTAATTTAGAAAAATGAATCTGCCTTCTCACTCTGCTTTCTGGATATCAGTGGATATACCCTTACATATACTGTAGATCTTCAGCCTTTCACTTGTAACCAGATTCAGAAATTCACTCTCTCTCTTGTTTTTTTTTAAACTGTTTTTTTTTTTTTTTTGGGGGGGGGGGAGAAAGGGAGAGGGAGAGAGCGAAACATAGATGACATCATCAGCTGCCTCCTGGACGACCCCCTCCTGCGGATCAAGCTGGATACCTGGGGATATGTGCCCAAACTGGAAATCGAACTGGCAACCTTATGGTGCATGGAACAATGCCCAACCATCTGAGTGACGTTGGCCAGGGTCAGAAATTCATTCTCTAGCAATCCTGATACCGGATAAAAGTCTCTATGAGTACTTTCAATGAAGGAAAAGCAACCCATTTTAATAGTGTCATCTCTTCTATGAATAGATAATTTTAGGTTACTGGGAATTGTCAAGTTGAGTTTAATGTGTTTATACCATTCCCTGATCCTATTTTTGTTTTCAGGAAAAATACAGAACAAATATACCTTTGTTTCTAAATAATAGTTTTTAAAATATTATAACAATATTCGAATATACCATCCTGAACTTAGACAAAATTTCATTTTTATTATCCTATCATGGCATAAGCAATACTTTATTAGTAGAAATTATTGAACAGATCCTAGATAATGTCATATGCATTGTTGTTGTTGTTCTTCTGTTTTTGTTTAGGGGTCTGAAATATAGGAAAATTAATTATTTCATTACTTAAAAAATTTTAGATTGACTTTTATATAAGGGTATATTGTAGCATGTGATTAGTATAGATAATAAAACAAAGGTAGCCCTTACAAGTCTGTTTTTGAAAAGTTTAAAGTTTACTGGGTTTGAAATTTTACATTAATGTCTACACTAATATCACTTCCTATTTAATCACTAGAGTCCCAGTGCATAAAATTCATGAACTCCGGGGGTGCGGTTGTAAACTGTCAGTTGGAATCCTTAGCACTGCCATGGAAAAGGGTCCCGACACCATCACTGTGCTCGCCAGCCATGAGCCCAGCTTCTGGCTGAGCGGTGTTTCCCCTGTGGGAGTGCACTGACCACCACTCCCTGACTGGAGATTGAACCTACAACCTAGGTATATGCCCTGATGGGAACTGAACCCACCACATTTAGTTGAATAGGACTGAGCTACACTGCCCAGGGCACTTAACGATATCTCGAACATACATTGCTTTCCTCACTCTACATTTGCTCTTCCAACTGGAATATTTTCTTAGAAACCGCCAAATATCCAAATTCTTCCCATCCTTTGGTGTTCAAACACTATTCCTTCAGTGAAATATTTTCTGATTTCTTCTGGTGATATATAATCTTTCCTTCCTCTGAATTCCAAAAGCCCTTGACTTGTACTTTTAAATTGCATTTATCATTCAATTTTGGTCATAGCTATTCTATATAAACATGTAGATACCTAACATTTCTCTATTTCTTTAAGGAGAAGGACCATACAACAGATTTTCCTATTTCTCTGTGTTTCACATGCCTCCTTTTCAGCATAGATGACTAGAAGCGTCTTGATATTACTCCTCCCATCTTTTTCAAGAAAATTCTTCCTAATCACTCTGACCCTTTCTCATATGAGATGGCTTCAAGAGCCTTTTACCCAGCTGCTCACCCCAGCTCACCAATGGCAATGCTGCTGTTAAACTGTGGTCCAGAACTAATACAATCTCCTCGGTGGGTTTGCTCAGTGCAGAGGATGGGAGAATAGTTTCCTGTGATTTGGATGCCACATATATTGTGTTGACAGCCTAATCACATGTGGAAGTTTTCAGCAGCTGAAGTTAACTAAAGTCATACTTGAGAACAGTAAGGTCTTTCCTTTGCATCATGGTTCTTCCTGACCAGTGGAGAATTACAGGAAATACAATTACAGACACTTTGGGGTAAGAACCTGGTATGGAGGGAGTCCCTCTCCTCTTCCCATGGAATTCTGAATATATTTTTGTAAACCCGTTTTTTATTCACATTAATGCTCTCAATTATGCCGTATGTCATTTGGCTAGGGGACATATTAATATAGTATCAAAACATGTAAAATGAAAAACTCATGACAAATTATCATACCAATGCTTCTGATCTGCCAGATGGGAAAGATAAAGTATTTCCTACTTTGGCTAAGTGCTACCTGAACACTGCTCCATGGTACAAGGTCTCTATTATAATTTTAGAATACTGCATATTCATAGCAGGATAGTATCCTCATAGCTTCCAAAGAATGTTTTGGTTCTAAGTTGTCTTTTGACAAATAATTTGCACTCTAAGTTTCCACCAGTTCTTATAAGCATTACAGCAGGAGGAAAGAAAATAAGAATTATAACTAATAGTGCCTTGTAGGAATGGGAAAGGCTTTATGTATAATATGCAATTTAATCCTTACTACATATCTGAGGAGCAGGCCTGGATACATTTCTGTTACAGACTACGGAATTGAGGCTGAGAAATGAAGTGACTTGCTCAAGGCCATGAAACCAGCAACTGGCAGATCTCACTCGTATTTAATATAACTCAGCTTTTACTGATACCAAATTCACTGCTTTTCCACCTTTCCCTCTGTCTCTCATAAATTATAAATGCATGCATTCTAGTCCTAGTCATTATACTAATTTAACTTTCAATAGGGTCGTCATCATTAAAGACAAAAATACACGCTTGAGAAAAATAAAGTAGGATACAAATTCACAAGTGAGAGCAAGGCTTGTCCAAAAGCTAAAACAGTTTTTTTTGGTAGCTGGTGAGATAAAGCATTTATTCACTTGACATTGTTCAGCACAATTTATCTGAGTGCCTACTAACAAAGCAAATACTGTTTGCAGATCCTGTTTTATTAATAGCAGAAATAATAAATTTTAACCGCAGCCACATTTACTAAGCATCTGCTCTAGTGTATATACCAGCACTATATTTTGTTTTCTGCAAACAATCACACATTTTCACAATATCCATCAAAAACAGTTATCAACTGCATTTTGAAAATAAGGCAACAGAGAGGTAGCTTGCCCAAGGCCACACCTAAGAAGCAGAAAACCTCAGTGTGGGCCTGAATCTAAAAGCCATGGTCTTTCCATCACTCCATGGTTCTCCCTCCCTACCTGTATAAATCATTCAATGTCTACCAAACTGTGGACGCAGATCCTCCTTCCGCATGCATTCTTTTACAAAAGAGCACTGAACTGGGAGGCCAAGAGCTAGATGGCTGGATGGATTCTGTCACTAATTACTCAGGAGACGCAGGTCACTAAATGTCTCCAGGCCTCAGTGACCTCACCGAACTACATGGGTTTGTCTAGATAACTTATGACTCCTTCCAGGTCTGAGTGATGCTAATGAACTTCTGGAACAAAGACCTCATCGTTAGTGCAATGATGGATGCATATTCTCAGTAATTTTAGAGGCTATTAATGACACTTTTTTCTAACTTTATTATCCTTAAAAAAAAATCACAAATTAAAAAATGCAAGTAGACCAATATGCATTTTTTTCTTTAGCAACATAAAATACCCATGCAAAAGTACTTCTTAAATAACCTAACATTAATTTGTTTCTCATGAATTCTGATGTTTTGTATAACAAATAAAAATATTACAAAAATGTATGAAAAAAAAAGAAACCAAACAACCCCCAATAACTACAGTCATGAAATTCACAGCTAACAGTTCCTCTTCTACCTCCCACATATTCCACCCCTGCTCCCTGCCTCTGACTCTCACTGGGATTACAAAACTCAACTGAAGCCCTAACAATGCATTCTTCTCTGAGGTGCTTAAAAGATGTTTATCTGAAGTGCATTATAAATAAGACAAATGGTTGTACTTCAAGAATCACTAGAGACCACCTCCTAAGACCTTGTCTGAGAAATAGAGAAAGAAAACAGAACAAAGTCTCCCATCAAGGAACTCCTTTATTCCACCCACGACCTGGGGTCATCTAATGACTATATCAGAGGCCTGGAGAGGGATTATGGCATGCATACAGGCCTCACATAAATCATAATTTAGAGCAGACCAGACAGCACTGAAACAAAGGCTCTCCTGTGGTACATGCATGTATGAAGAACAGTCAGAAGAAAATTTGGTATAATGGAAAGCATACTAATCCCTATGAATCTTGAGGCCTGAGTGCCAGTTCTCTGATGCTAAAATTATGGTCTTAAACATAGGCCATTACTTGGTCCAGTCATTTCATTGTACCTATAGAACCCTCCACAAGCATCTTAGAGATGCTTATGTAGAAGTTATGATGCCAGTGATCAAGGGACTGCTCCCATTTGGGAAGGGCCACTGGACCTCCATTGTTTTGAATGATACAACTAGGCCCCCTAGATATAGTAAAACGCAAGGAATAGAAGAATCTAGATCTTACTCCATTCCTCTGTCTACCAAACCATGC